AGAAAGTTTTTCCATATGCTTAGTTGGAATCTCCTTTCTTGTAACTTGAAGCCATTGGTTCGAGTCCTACCCTCCAGAGCAGGTGAAAATAAGCTTGTTCCCTATTCCATGTGACAGCCCTTAAGATATCTGGAGATGGCTATCATATCTCCTCTCAGTCTCCTCTTTTCCAGGCTAAACATACCCAGCCTTGAAGACGAGGAAGAAGGGATGGTGCCATATTGAGTGGAGAGGTAAAGGAAAGAGAAGTACCGAGCCCCCTTGCCTGTGACTGTGTCAGCCTCAAACCTTACAATAAGTTAGGGAGCTTCCCATCACCCACTTCCTATCCAGTTCACAAATGGCAGGCAGGAGTGGACTGCAGGTATCCTGTAAATCTACAAAAACAAATAATTAAATCCTACATCTCAGTTGGTGGACCTTGAGGTTCTAGTGAAAAGACAAAATAGCTTCCATAAGCCCTAATGTCTACCTTCCTCAATGCTAAAACTCTGCTGAAAATTTATTAACTGCTACAAGAAACAGCACCTTTGCCTTAAAAAAAAAAATACATTGGGATGAGCAATATATATCTTGACCAAGAAAGAAGTCAGAGGAGTGAAGGGGGGGAAAGGAAGCAATAATGACTTAAGACTTACCAACAATACTGAATAGAACCCTGGTTGTGTCTCCCACTGTTTCAGTTGTTCTTCGGCTGGTTTCAGCACAACGGTATCTTGACTGGTGGCTTGGGTCAAGACCTGAAGAACAATGCTACTGGCACTATTGAGATCCATGAAAATCTGTCAAAGATATTTCAAGAGAAACCCACTGACATAAGTATATACACTATTTAACTATTCTATATTGCAGCATTCAAAATTCACCAGGCACAATTTGCACCTGACTATTGACTACTTGCAACCAAGTGAAGCTGCCTTGGCACCAGGATAGTGCCTGACGTCTCCACCCTCTGGAGGTGAATGCCTGGGGATCCCTGGATCTTGACTGTTTTCACACACTAGCAACACATCCTGTAGAATTCTATCCATTATATTTTATCTGCACAATTAGAATAAATTTCAGAACCAAAAAGTCATACTGAAAAATACAATTTTCAAGTTGTCTTGCCCAAAAATGGCAACTAGGCATTCCTGTTTGGTGACTAACCCTAATTTAAGGAGCTATTTGCTGCCTAGCTTATATATCTGAGTTTCTATATGGCAACTTCACCTGTTACTGTATTTGGAAATTTAAGTATTCACTGAACCCAAGATTTTAAATCAATATTTAATTGAACCACTATATATCATATTAAGACTGAGTATATAGAGTGAAAGCCAACATTAGACATGCTTACTGTAGACTTGTTGAAATCCATGGATACATGTATGATACTGCTTTAAATGTAAGGTACAGATGGGGCATTGGTTTAATTCCACAAAGACAAATAATACGTGCAATTTTTTAGAACTGGAGTCACACATATTAAAGAGAAAATAAGCAAACGATTCAAGTTTCCCTCGCAGCAAGAAGCCTCTGAAACACTGAAACATCCTGCACCACTTACGGTAACACTTCTCTGCCATTCCATGAAATGTTCAAGGTGGCTAACAAATATGAAAAGCATTTACAAATACCAATAATTTTTTTTTTAAATGCTCTTCTCCAAAGCACAATACACAGAGCAAAATCTGAATCAGAAGCAGCTGTCTCAACTCCAAAAACAACAAACAGAAATCTTACCCATTTATACAATTACAATATCAAATGCTTTCCCTGTTCCATTTTCTTAAGGAAACTACAGTGGTACCTCTGGTTACGTACTTAACTCGTTCCGCAGGTCCATTCTTAACCTGAAACTGTTCTTAACCTGAAGCACCACTTTAGCTAATGGGGCCTCCCGCTGCCACCGAGCCGCCACTGCGCGATTTTTGTTCTCAACCTGAAGCAAAGTTCTTAACCCGAGGTACTATTTTTGGGTTAGCGGAGTCTGTAACCTGAAGTGTCTGTAACCTGAAGCGTATGTAACCCGAGGTACAACTGTAGTTCCATTTATAATTTCTCAGCTCCCAATCTGCTCTCAAAATGTTCTACGTTTCAATGAAAGCCTGGACTGTAGAACTTCAGCATTAAACACACAGAAGGAGGCATTTTCCAGGTATATTTGCATTCTTTTAGGCATCTGTTTCAGCGTGCACAAAAAACCAATTCTGCTGAACAGATAATTGTAATTAGTTATTTTTCACAGAACATAAATTTGTTCTCAAAAGTCTTCCCCTTTTTAAATGTGAATTACAGTGACCCAACTATCTGATTAAAAATAAACAGAAATAATAGAACCTCAATGTTTCATTAGCAAGATTGCAAAAATACAACTTTGTCAAATTTAGAAGGGGAAACAATTTTAGCATAATTAAAAGGAAACTGGGAAGCAAACAAAACTGTTCTACTAGGCTCACAATGTATACAAAAGGTAAACATTTACAGAGAATTATTCAAAAAAGTTATGCAAGCTTTCTTATTTATACCTCTATACTGTTGAAGCAAGTACTACCTGAGTTCAATGAGGTGTATTCTCAGGTGACTATGAACACATTTGCAGTTGTGTGTCCTGATCCGCAGGCCCAAAGTAGCTTGGTGCAGGGATACCAAAGGATGTAAAAAAATGCCAGAATGGCCAGTTCTAGTGCTTTATTAAAGAAAGGTGTAAACTTACACAACACAGCCTGCAGAGCCCTGCTGTCCTTACAGACTCAGGGCTGAGGCACAAGCAGCAAGCTTTGTCCTTGAGGTGTTAATATGTTAAGCTTTTACACAAAGCAATGGAGTGGGGGCAGGGAATGAAGTATAATATTTGCATTAGCAGCACCAAAGTAACCTCCCCAGGGTGCAAGCCTGGGCAGTGTAGATGGAGGTCCTGGGCTGCCCAGATGACGAGATCCCCCTCTTGGTCTCACCCCTGCTCAGGCTGCACAGAAAAAGCATTTGGGTTCCTGAAATTCATTCTGATTGTGCCAATAAAATATAATAGATAGAATTCTACAGGATACGGTAAAAGTGTGTGAAAGCAGTCATGATCCAATGCATGCATCCCCAGATGGTGGAGATGTCGGGCATCATCCTGGCATACAGGCATCTTCACTTGATTGCAAGTGGTCGATAGCCAGGTGCAAAATGCGCCTAGCACCTGGCTAATTTCAAACACAACTCTTTTCCACATACATATCTGAGTTCTCAATCATGCTATCATATTGCAATTCTGCACACCATGTCTCTAGTGTTAGAGTCATCATGTCTTCTGAAAAGTACAGTTCCAGAGAGTTCAATGAGACTCACTCCCAGTTAAGTGGGGGTAGGATTGCAGCTTAAGTGATTTGGGGTATAGTCTTAACACCTAGTTACATGGAAGAAAGCTCCACTAATTTCAATAGGACTTACTTCTGAGTAGACTTAATTAGGATTGCACTGTGAATAAGGGAAATAAAAATGCAGCACTGACAAAATTTACCACCATAGTGTGTCCTCAATATAAAGTTGAAATATAACTATAACAGAAAACAATAACAATTCAGTGCTCAGGCAAAGCAAATCTTCAGAAATGAGCAGCTGAATGGGAAAACAGAGAACTTACAGGAGAAGGAGCCCTTGAAGTATACTTGGTTGTCAAAAAAAATCTAGCCAGTTTTTAAATTGCAAAAAAAGAAAAATGTTTTTAAAAAGACCAAATTCCCAGTTCTGTGAATAATTCTGAATTGCATCTATAATCCTATTAATGCTTTACACTCAGGTAGAAGCATAACTGGCCCTATAAAATGTTTGAAGACATGTGTTTGCTTGTTGGTTAATGTTTAATGAACAATTCACTGAGATGCGTATTTTAGGATTTAAGGAAAGAGCACATGAATAGAAGGCAAATGCTAGTAATAAAAATACTACCCAAAAGCATCATTTATATAAGGTCAAGAGAAAAATGTTTAACAATTCTACCCACTGAAAATGCAATAGGCTCTGCTTCCCCAGTGACAGTTATTCTTCTGCAGCCCAGTCTATTCCAGAAACAATCCCATGCACATAAGCCTGTGTGACCCAGTGAACAGTATTGTCACTGGACATGTCCCCTTAATTTGGAAAGGTCATGATTTCAAAGAGAAGGTGCTACTACAAAAAAAATCAGTCCCTCCCCTTCATTGCCCAGAAACTGAACTCTGCAGGTTCTTGGGAGAAAGACCATAGCTCAGTGGTAGGGCATAAGTCTTGCACGCAGAAGGTACCAGGTTCAATCTCTGCTGACTCCAGGTACAACCTTTTTGCGGACCAACAGTGCAAGGGAGCTCTCAGCATTCACCAGACGACTTTAGGGCAGCAGGTCAACACGGAAGAAGCTCCTACCTGAGGACAGGTGCGACGGCCGTGTCCTCTTCTGCCACACTTGGCAGCCCTGCCTCACGGTCGTGACTCCCACCCCGATTTCTCCCCACAGGTCGACCGGTACAGGCAGCCCAGTCACAAGACACAAGCCCCGCTTCCCCACTCCAGATCCTGAAGGCGAACAAGAGCTCTGGACTCCCGAGGAGGGTGGGAAGAGGACTCGCATCTGGGAGCCTCCGAGCTCCTCGCCTGCTCGAGGGATGGCATGGCAGGCTGCCGGCCGTCGCCATCGCCGCCCCCTCATGCGAGTGGACCTGCCCGGAGTGGTGGGCCGGGGGAGGCTCGCTCTCTGTGGGTATGTGGCGCGCACGCGCGGCCCCGCTTCCTCCTGCCCAGGGCTGAGCTCCTTACCCGCGATCTCGGTCTCGCGCACGCGGATCCCACTTATTCCGAAGCTCGCGCCACTAGCCGGGGCTCTCACACCGTGCCAGGGCGAGGCGGCGCGGCCCACTGACGTCATCGCGGCTCGACGCCGCCCTCGACTTCCCTGTTCCCTCCCCTCCCTCGGGTCGCCGTGGTTACCGAGGCCTGCAGCTGCTCGGGCGAGCGTGGGGCGTTAAGTGGGGAAAGGAAAATTAAAACTCGCCTGAAGGCCGCCTCTCCGGATATGAAGCGATCTGGTCTCTACGATCGTCACCTGAGGCTTTTCTTCGTCTGCCTCCTCCACGAGAGGAGCCTTTTCTGCAGTGGCTCTCCCTGTGCTGAAGTCTTCCCAGGGAGACTTGCCTGCCCCCTTCGTTACATATCTTTATGGCCTCTTGAACTCCGGGTGGGGGGCTTATTATTATTGTTACTTATTACAGTATGTATTTTTTTGGTTTTTATCTGGTAAGGCACCTTCGGGTGAAGGGTGGTGTACAAATAAACAAGGTCTATTGGAAACGGTAATTTAAGACAAGTGAATGCACTCTCTTTACCCTTGATATCTTTGGGAGAGAACTATACGGCGCTCGCATTTTATGGGGCGTTCTTCTGGCTGCCTGTCATCATCATCCCTAACGGCTTTGGCCAGCACCCCGAGTTTCAGACGGGCAACCTGTTCGCCTGCTGCAGCAAAACCAGCCCGAAGTCTTGCGGCACCTTAAAGATCAACAACTTTCCATTTACTGTCGTCCACTTCCTGCACCAAGTGTGATCCTGACGTGCGCGTCACAGTCCCCTCCCCAGCCACGTGTAGTGAGGAGGTGGGCCGAGCTTTCAGCCACAATAAACGTGCTGCGTTTTTCGAGGTGCCACAAAGCTCTGCCACTGATTCTCCAGCACCAGGTAGCGTCTCCAGAAGGCGCCTAGGACCAATTTCTCGACCCACTTCCCACGGTCTATCATTTGCCTTATCTCTATGGGAGAGTCTTGATCGCGGGGCTTTTCGGGAAATGTAGTCGCCAGAAAGGCTTGGCCGTGTTCAGCCACTGAATAGATAAAACTACTTGTCCCAGCAGGCTGTGCGCGTGACGGCTTCCTCCCCGGAACTCTCCGCGACAGCGAGGAAAGCAACGTGGGCTGGTGGGGGTCTGACCGTGATACTGATCATGCCGAAGGTAAAGAAGCCGCCGCGCTCGAGGCAGCAGCGCCCAGAAGGAAAAGCGCCAGGTGAGAGGAGGAAAGACTCCAGCGGACGGAGACGGGAACTGACTTTTCCCAGGTTCCTTTCCTGACTCCTGATCTTGCCACAGGGAGCAGGCGGTGCGGTGTAGTGGTTAGAGTGCCGCCGGACCGGGATTCGGTTCCCTACTGAGCCATCAAAGTCACCGGGGTGACGCTGGCCCAGGGTCCGCCGTCTCCCAGTCTAGCCCGGCCTCGCGAATTTGTTGCATCATTTCAAAAGGTGGCATAAAACGTGTACTAGATAAAAACAGAGTTGTGAGGTAGTGGTTAGAAAGTTGGACATGGGATACGAAGGGAGCCTGTTTTGAATCCTTGCTCAGCTACAAAGTGCCCCGAGTGTCACTGGGTCAGTCGTGATCGCTCAGCCTCACCTACCTCGCAGGATTGTTGTGAAGGTAAAGGGTAGAAGGAGAACTTTGTATGACGTCCTGAAGGCATATAAATGCATGTAAATTGGATCGCCACCTGTACCACCTGTACCAAGCAGGGTAGCTGTGTTGTTGGCTGCTTGTTGTTGTCTTTGTCCATGGAGTTTTCTTGGCAGGGATACTGGAGTGGCTTGTCAGTTCCTGCTCCAGGTGGATCACGTTTGGTCAAAACTCTCCACTATGACCTGTCCATCTTGGGTGCCCTGCTCGGCATAGTTCATAGCTTCTCTGAGTTATTCAGAGAAGGTGGGGCTACCTTTGAAGGTGACCCGGAAACTACAACTAATCCAGAACGCAGCAGCCAGACTGGTGACTGGGAGCGGCCGCCGAGACCACATAACACCGGTCTTGAAAGACCTACATTGGCTCCCAGTACGTTTCCGAGCACAATTCAAAGTGTTGGTGCTGACCTTTAAAGCCCTAAACGGCCTTGGTCCAGTATACCTGAAGGAGCGTCTCCACCCCCATCGTTCTACCCGGACACTGAGGTCCAGCACCGAGGGCCTTCTGGCGGTTCCCTCACTGCGAGAAGCCAAGTTACAGGGAACCAGGCAGAGGGCCTTCTTGGTAGTGGCACCCACCCTGTGGAACGCCCTCCCACCAGATGTCAAAGAGAACAACAACTACCAGACTTTTAGAAGACATCTGAAGGCAGCCCTGTTTAGGGAAGCTTTTAACGTTTGATGTATCACAGTATTTTAATATTCTTTTGGAAGCCGCCCAGAGTGGTATAAATAATAAATTATTATTATTATTATTATTATTATTATTATTCAAGCCCCTTCGCCACGGCCAGGAAGTGATCCATGTTGGCTGCTTAGGCAGGAGCAAAACACCAGTTAGCTTAGTTGTTAGAGCTTGGTGTTTATAACGCCAAGGTCCCAGGCTTTATTAGCCACCTGTATATTCCTGCATTGCAGCGGTTCATACTAGATGACCCTTGCGGCTCCCTTGCAACTCTGATTCCAGTTCTAAGATTCAACAGCTGGTCCTTCATGCACTCTTCAATTACAGATGGGAAGAGGTAGTGGATGTTTGACTTATGCTTTATAATAAAGTTGAAGACTATTAAATGCTGCAGTTCATTAACAAATGTAAACAGCACTGTGATTAACTTTTCTTTTTGTTTGTCTACTATTTTGTCTTTACTAATAGGTATCAGGTTCAACACTGGACTCGGTCAACATATTTTGAAAAATCCCCTCATTGTTAACAGCATTATAGAAAAGGTAGGTAATAAGCATTTTTTATATAAGGAGAAGTGTTTAAAGGTGAATGGCTAAGGCTGCAATCCTATGCCCACTTACCTTTGAGTAAACCTCAATAGCTTACTCCTAAGTAGACATGTATATGACTACACTGTGAAACACTATCACTTGATTTGTAGAAATGAAGAACGATATTGAGAAGAACAATTAGACAGCATCCGTATGAAAATAATGAACACTATTTTAAGTTTAAACAACATTGGCGGTATTCAGCTAAGTTTTACTTGGAGCTTAGCCTCTGAAATTAATGAATATGACTAAGTTAAGTTCATTAATTTCAATACTTCTTCGCTGAATAAAACTCAGTTGAATGCAACTCATTTAGTGTAAAATGGCTTAAAATGATTTGTGTGTCTGTGCCCCAAATAATAAGTGAAACAGCTTGCAGCCTTACTATTCAGAGGCTCAGGGGAAGGCTTGGTCAGATCCTGAGAACTCTGTGTAGGTCTCGAGTTCGGTATTTATGAACAGGTGGTGTCCTCAAAAGCACCATCTGATTCAAAAAGGCAGCCCTGTTCAGGGAAGTTTTTAATGTTTGATATTTTAGTGTATTTTTGGTTTCTATGGAAGCCGCCCAGAGTGGCTGGGGAAGCCCAGCCAGATGGGCGGGGTACAAATAAAAAATTATTATTATTATTATTATTATTATTATTATCTATTTTATTATAAAGCACCTTGCTAAATGATGAGAACCTAATAAGGGTGGGAGAGTGGCTTAGATGGGATTTCTCTAAGGGTGGCTGCTTGTCTTCTCAACATGTTTGGTTGAAGATCCCGCTCTGGGCCTTCCTACAAAAAGGCCAAGACAACTGACACCTTCAACTTCTTTCCTCCATGCCTATCACACAAAAGCCTGTGGATGGGAAGCCAGAATGGTTGAGGTTGTCATTGAACCTCAATATTCTTCAGGTGTCGCCTCTCACGAGCCAGGCATGTAGTTGTGGCCATTCCAGATCGGCATGAAGGTCTGTGGCTGACGTGACAACTAGGTCTGCGCACCAGGCTCTTCAACACCAGGTGGAAGCCAAGATGATGACTTCCCTTCTCATTGTCCTGATCCTCCTACAGACTACTGGATCAGAGCTACTTTAATGTGCCATCTGATATTGGCCAAGCTAGTACTTCTGTCAAGTACAGTCGTACCTCTGCTTATGTATCCCTCTGGGTACGTAAACCTCAGGTTGCGAACGCGGCAAACACATTTACGGGTTTTGCCATGTGCGCAAGCGCAGAAGCGCTCAATTGCGTGCGCAGAAGGGCGCCTCCAGTTACAAAGTTTTCAGGATGTGGCCAGGCCTCCGGAACGGATCCCATTCATAACCAGAGGTATTATTGTACTTGCTGCTTTTCTAAAACCAGTTTTTCATGTAATTTCCAATGTTACTTACTTTCAGGCTTCCTTGTACCCTACTGATGTTGTTCTAGAAGTTGGTCCTGGCACTGGAAATATGACAGTAAAAATGTTAGAAAAAGTGAAAAAGGTAAAGAACTTCCAAGTAATAAAGATGTTCTTCTCTTTTTATTCACATTTGGCTACTGGGGGAGTTGGGAAGAGAACTGCACTATAGAGAGAACTCTTAGATCCTATGCTTGAGTTTGCTTTCCCCTTTTTCCTCATCTGTCAGGTATTTTTGTGAGCCTGACGGTGACGATGGTTTTAGAATTTATTTTTGTAAGCCACTTAGAGAAGCTTTTGGCTAAAGCACAGAGTATAAATGTTGTAACTGCGCAACGTGTGAAGAACTTCCTCTTGTCTGTTCTGAATCTTCTACCATTCTCCTTCATTCTACTAAACTAATGGTCTAGGTGCTGGATTGGTGATAAAAATGTGTATCTTTTTGGCCAAACTGTGTCTTGTATTTCTTTATCCCCCTCTTTACAGATATGTTGCTGAATTTTGTTTGAATTGTTCACTGAAATTGTCTTGGTTATAAATTTTCTTTATAGTCTTATAACATTTTCATCGGCAGATTTATAGAGTTTTGTTATCTGCTGAAATCAGTAGATTTGTTTTTTTCTATGATGCTGTTAGCCACTTTGGGCTTCATTTCAGAGGGGAAATCAGGTAAAATAAATGAAATGAAAATGTTCTATAAAACACTTGGTTCTTATGCGGCTCACGTTCCATCATGATTCTACATAGGTACAAAATCCTACAATGTGTATGGATCATATATGCAGTGATTTGTATAGGATTCTTTTTCAGGTTATTGCTTGTGAATTGGACGTAAAGCTTGCTGGTGAACTTCAGAAGAGAGTCCAGGGCACGTAAGTGCAAAAAGCGGTGGAATGACACTGTTTTTCACCTAGAACCTGTCTTGGAAATGTATTAATGGAATAATTTTGTTTTGTCCCAGGCCTCTGGCTAACAAACTTGAAATAAAGATTGGAGATGTGTTGAAAAGTGACCTGCCCTTCTTTGATGCTTGTGTGGCTAACTTGCCTTATCAAGTAAGAGCAAAACCAACCGATTTGGGGAAAGGGCCAATATAATTTATGGCTTGCAGTAATAAACCTACCATGAAATTAACACTTTTTCCCTTGTTTTCAGATTTCCTCCCCCTTTGTTTTTAAGCTACTGCTGCACCGGCCTTTCTTCAGGTACAACTATATTGTATCTAATAGATTTTAGGATTTTAGGTGCTTTTTACACATAATTACTGTATTGGCTCGAATATAAGCCACACCCGCAAATAAGCTGCACCTTTAAAATTCGGGGGGAGGGGAGAGACAATACCCGAATATAAAGCCACTCGCTTAAAATTGGGTTACAGGCTGAAAATTGCTGCGGTTGGTAGAATTGTAACTCGGAGCCAATTTAAGCCTTTGATCTTGCAAGCCCGCAAAAGTTACTGTACAATTGCTAAAATCGCAAATCACTATTCAATTGCTGAAATTCCGCATGCACTCATACCCATAAATGACAAATGAACAGTCTCAAGCTTGCAAATCGGCAATAAAAAATTTTTTGTTCTGTTTTACCGTATGTCTGTTTCAGCAGCGATATCATAAAAGCCCATTTCTGTAAGGTCGCAAATTTAAGCCACACTTTAACTTTTCACGGTCAGAATTTGGGGGGAAAAGTGAGGCTTATATTCAGGCCAATATGGTAACTATGGAGAATGACTTGTATCCTGTGGTGTGTCTGCACTGGGCAGAGCAAACTTTGACTAACACAACAGGACTTCACCTTCCTCTCTGCAGACCCCACATGCTCTCCCCCACCCCAGTCTGCTCAAAAGGTGTTGGTTGGGGGGGGGGTCGGGGAGTGCAGGAAATGAAGAGGAAGGGAAAGTCCTATTAAGCAAGAAGGAATCTATTCATGTGTTGTTGGTTTCAACCCAGTGCGTTGGTATTAGCAACCAAATGATTTAGAAAACAAATGGTGAGCAATTTGTCAAGCTAGAATGCTAAAAACACTTTCATCTTTTACATTCGGAGTTATGATTAGTATGTCTAAGAAGGAAGGTGTCTCTATGTGGATCGTACACAAATAGCTGTTTATTCTTGAAATCGAAACAGCTAAGCATTGTCACTTTACATCTCCCCAAGGAGTCTGACATTTGGAGACTGAAGGTGGTTGTCCTATTTTTGCTCTCCCGTCTCATTTCCCAAGTTGAGTTTTCATTAGATTTCATCTGCAAATCTTTAGATGCATTACAGTTCTCTCAAACAATATTATTTGGGGGTGGGGACTAAAAACAATACATGTTTTTCCAATGGGGGGGGGTATAGACATTGTCACAAAGTTTCTAGTTTTATCAGTAATTAACAGATATAAATCTGATGGAAGCAATTAATAAATACCTGACGTGCCAGTCAAATGAATCTCCATTGTCGTTGACATGTCAGGTATTTGTTTCTTGCCATAATATTGTCATCAGCTGCCTTAAACATAGCGAGGAGGCAGTAAATGAATAAAGGAAATGGTTTGAAATCAGGGTTTAATTAGAGCTTCTGTTACATTCACTGTTGTCTGTATCCTCTTAATAGTCATAACTGTACATAGGCTATTGATGAACAAGTGTTGGCTAAGTTGTTGGCCTTGCTTAAAGGCTGTATGGCTCAATGCTTGCAACTCATTTTTAACTTCCAGGTGCGCAGTCCTCATGTTTCAAAGAGAATTTGCTCTTCGCTTGGTTGCAAAGCCAGGCTCTCCCTTATATTGCAGACTCTCTGTTAATACTCAGCTATTAGCTCGCGTCGATCATCTGATGAAGGTAAGGAAAATAAGCAATAGCAAAACTGTGTTTGTGGATCCAAGGCTAGGGTGGGCACGCAAGCTTTTAAGAGGCTGAAAATTATTATTATTATTTTCCCTGAGAGCTAACTTTTATAATGATTAACAGGTAGGGAAAAATAATTTTAAACCGCCACCCAAAGTTGAATCCAGTGTTGTGAGAATAGAGCCAAGGAACCCTCCACCGCCAATCAATTTTCAGGTGAGACGCATCGATATTAATATAATATGCATGAAAACATCTTTCGTAGTTAATGTGTAAAGGTCCTCAATGTATTGTTTTGAATATTCTCCTCAAGATAGTATCTAAACAACAGTTGAGCAACCATTGTTGTGAAGGTTGCCTAGCGTTTTACACCAGGGATGGGGCATCTGCGACCCTCCAGATGTTTTTGGATTCCAGCTCCCTGAAGCCCTGCCCAACTTGGCCAGTGGTCAAGGATCATGGAAGTTAGAGTTCAATAGCAACCAGAGGGTCATAGGCTCCCCATCCCTGCTTCGCACCTTGTTAACATCAGTTACTAATAAGAAAGCAAGATGATGAGGTGGAAACTTCAGAGTGCACCTGAGCCTTCTTCGGAGCATTATTTTGTGATTTGGAATGGTGTTGGCAAACCAAAGCTTAGCCTTTAGAGAGGAAAGAGGAGGGCTAATCTCTTCCTTGTGGTAAAATGGCAGATTTCATTAGCTTGAATGAAAAGTCCTAACGGTGCTAAGCTTTGATGCCAAGGCTTCATAGTTTCCACTGAGGCTAAAGCAGAGTGGTACCTTGAAAACCAGAGTCCTCGTCAGCCTCTGCTCTACCTGTTGCAATATGTAAGTCTTTAAATATTGAGTATCCACGTAGAGACCTGTCAAAGTGTGCCTTGATTATACTGCATTTGAAAGCACATTCCTTGTGACTTGGGAGAAATTTGTAAAACCTGAATGGGGCTTTTCATAGTGGCTTCTCTCACGGGGTTAAACACATTTTGAATACCGCCATATCCTACTAGCAGGTAAATGGATGGGCAGCCTGTTGCTTGGACTACACCGCTCCTCATCCCTGACGGTTGGCCATGTTGGCTGGTGCTGAGGGGATTTGAAGCCCAACAACTTCTGATAGGCCACAGGTTCTCTGTCCTTGATGCAGAATTTTGAAAACAGGCAAACACACAGCTAATCTGCAGATTGAAGAAGGAAAAAGAAGAGGCGGAGATTGGGGTACTTGAGAGATGTATGGGAACCCAAACATAATGAAATGGGCAATGGGGAGGCGTGGTGGGTAGCAGGAGCTCTGTAAACTCCTCTGAAAAGGTTGCTTAAACAAAGTGTATTTTTAATTTTTATTCAGGAGTGGGATGGTCTACTAAGGATAGTCTTTGTCAGGAAAAACAAGACACTCGCTGCAGTTTTTAAGTAAGTTACCTCATATTGGAGGAAATGTTTGGTGTGCTGCAAGGCAGTCTCTTTCCTCCTGCAAGAGTCAACCATTTCTCCTTGGCTGACTTGTTAATCATGCTGACCATTGTGGACTGAGACTGGGTGGGGTGTTATTCTTCTGGACCTTGGAAGAAGTGTGTGTGTTTCATGGACAATAGGAAGCACTAGGCCAGATGACTCGATTGCTAAGAATTGTCCTGTCACTCTATCTTTCATTAACTAAGAGCAGAGAATGGAGGGAGACGGTGGTGGACCTAGCTTCTCAGCATTTTCTTCCATCTCAATCATTGTGGAAGAAGGGAGCTTGAGAGCCAAAAGTCACCAAGACAAATTAGAATGCACTCATGGATATATAGACTAGAGCAGAGTTTCCCAAATTTGAGTCTCCAGCTGTTTTTGGACTACAACACCCATCATCTCTAGCTAGCAGGACCAGTGGTCAGAGATGATAGGAATTGTAGTCCAAAACAGCTGGAGAGAATCTGGTGCTCTCCAGATGTTTTGGGCTCCAGCTAGAGGAAAATGGATTTGAAAAGGGAATTTTGTATTTGCCCACCCTCATCCCGAAAAGATCTATATGTCGTAACTTTCTTCTTCTTCTTCTTCTTCTTCTTCTTCTTCTTCTTCTTCTTCTTCTTCTCAGTTCAAATGCTGTGAAAAAGCTGCTGGAAAAGAATTATCGGATTCACTGTTCACAAAATAACTTGGTAAGTATTTCAAGCATTCTCCACCTCCCCCAACAAGCTTCATGTAAGCATCAGTGTCTTGCTACTTGTTTGATACGTGCTACATAAGCAAAATTCTCTGCTTTCTGTTTTGTATTGACAGGAAATTCCAGAAGATTTCAGTATTGGAAGTTTCATACAGGGAATCCTAAAAGACACTGGTTATGCAGAAAAACGTGCGCGAGTCATGGATATTGATGACTTCATCAGGTGAAGCCAAGGGCATTTCTTTCAAGCTTTGGTGCATTGCATGCTCTCCTTTAAACAGAGGCCTCCTATTTCCAAGATGAAAAGAAAAATAAGTGTGGAGGGCAGGGGTGGGAGAGATTCCCCTTGATACCTTAGATGCTTCTGCACTTTGCCTTCCTTGCAGTGTGTTACCAGTTGGGCAGGCCACTCTTCCTACCACACATGCAATGTCAGAGGAAGTGCACTTGAGACCGGTCCGCACACATGAATGAGCCCAATGTGTAAATTGTACATCCTGGGGGTTGGGAAGGGAGCTTTTACGATTGTGCCTACTACTCTGCCACACTAGCTGCAAACGAGGCAGGCTGTTATTTTCCAAGCCCAGATGAGGGTAGCCAGCGGGTCTCCAACCCTTGGGGAGTTAGGGACTTCCCCTTCATGCAAGGACAGGCTCTGGTGGATTGAGTGGACGAGACCAATAGTGGATCCAACAGTCAGCAAGGTGGTTTCTGCATGTGCTGTAGAGAGTAGTGAGGGGCAGATGAGGTACCTTCAGAGGTTTACAGGTGCCATCTGGGAGAAGGAAAACTCGTCACCATAAACCTCTGCTGCCTTGCGGGATATCTTTGAGAGACTAAAAGGCTAAGTACACCCTACACAGATCCTGGGTGGTGACCCTAAGATGGTTGAATGTTGCCTTGTACACCTCCTTCCTGCAGCCAAGCTGGTGCCAAATGTCTATTTCTGCTTTCCTTTGGACCACATCAGCAAGGCTGAGAGGAGGGGTCTTGTCATCTGGTCCTTTGGACTGATGATTGTAGGAACGGCTGCCATCTTGGCCCAACCATAGAACTGGGCTGCAGTGATTTCAGTGGAGGAAAGGAGGACTAGGTGTTTTCTCCCAGGCTCCAAGCAGAAGCCAGAAATCCTGGATGGTTCTTTTCTGCTTCTGAAGTCTTATGCAAGCCCATATCCTAAATCTTGCCAACTGCTCTTAAATGATATCCCTACCTGCTTTTCCAATGCCAACTGGACTCCTTCCGGGGGGCGGGGGCGGAGAGAGCAGGAACTGAATGACTAAACAAACAAAATTGCCACAGATCTTGTTCCGAGGGTAGCAGGAAGTAGGTGCGGTAGTGAAATTAGGAGTTTTAGAGTTATTGGTTCCAAGACTTCAGAAGCAGGAGCACAAAAAGAGGAGAGAACTTTCTCTTGCCTTGGAAATTGGACACAGAGGGACCCAGGACCACCTACAAGTGGCACTCTTAATGTCATATAAAATGTCAGTGAGAGATGAATATTTTCATTTTCCAGTGTTCTGCATGGCTTCAACGCAAAAGGCATCCACTTTTCCTAAAGGGAAGATGGAAGAGACGCTGAGCAGCAATGCTTTTGTAAGGATGAACTGAACTATCTAAAGGTGGTATCAGAATTTCACCCGAGATGATGTGTGCCATGCTGCACATGCACATCCAGCTGTTTAATTACCCCATTGGTGCAAAATGAGTTCTCAAGGACAACGCCAATCGCCACCATGCCTTTGTTCTGCTCTGCTCCTTTTGGAGGTTTTTTTTAAGAGAACATATGTGATGCAGAGTGTAAACTCTCCAGCCATGTTCAGGGTCTCCTGAAATACACCTTTTATTTTTCTTATTGCATTGCCTAAGCCACAGTGACCACCTGCTCCCAACAAAAAGCACCCCAACCAAGAACAACTGTTATGTTTGATATTACAACCCAGATACTATTCCTTTATTAAAGAATTCATGATCCAAGATGTAAACTAGGTTCTCTTAATTGTCAAACCCACTCCTTAGATTTTGTGTGTGTGTCAAGTTCTGTAGTCATTCTTAGACGGTGCATTGCAATAAACAATGCTTTTTGTATCAGTGTTTTCCACAAACATTCAACATTTACAAGCACCTCAACTCTAAGCCACTGATCTGTGATGTGGTGGGTTGTGCACATTGGCTTCAAGACTCATCTCCATTTTGCTAGTTTCTTACCTGAAGTAGCATAAACTTACAAGTTTAGTAGATGTGTGTATGACTCACATCAAGAGGTATCCATGCTCTTTCAGATTCCTAATGTGACCCCTGAATATGCAGTTTAGTAAAAGAAGATACAACTCCTTGAGGCTTTGTATATCTGGACCAAGTCAAATGCAGGCGGCTTGTGGAAACCAATAACACAGTGCCTCTTGATATTCCATCCATGGTTAAGAAAGAATTATAAATGAACAACCAGTCGGCTTGGTTCTTCCTTGTGGTAAGGAATTTGTGTAGAAACTGCATACAATGGTACCTCTGGTTACGTACTTAATTCGTTCCGGAGGTCTGTTCTTAACCTGAAACTGTTCTTAACCTGAAGCACCACTTTGGCTAATGGGGCTGCTAGAAGCAAAGTTCTTAACCCGAGGTACTATTTCTGGGTTAGCGGAGTCTGTAACCTGAAGCGTATGTAACCCGAGGTACCACTGTATAAGATTATCATGGCACCACCAGCATTTGATAGTCCTCATAGCTGGTCTTACATTTGACTAGTAAAATACCTCATTCTATTCCAGTAAGTGATTTCAAGGCAGGATATTCACATGACAAGAGATAACTCTCCCTTTGGAAAGCACATTTACTTCATCATTAATTTTCTTTTCAGAGGAACTAATAAGTGTCCTCCTTTCAGAGCAAGGAAGACTTCCTTCTTATATATCACAGATAGGGTCAAGTCAATTGCTCCAGGCAGATCTGCTTTTTTAAGGAGAGGGAATGGTGCTTTTCGGCACAAGGCAATCGGCCTGGAATTGTTTCCCGCGCGCTGCGAAAGGGAACAGCTGCGGTCGCGCGAACCCTCCGGCGCTGGGAGGGGAAAGGGCGGAGTCGCAGAGCACCAGCTGGCCGAGCGGTTGCGCGCAGCGTTGCGCTTTTGGAGAGCGTGCGGCTGCTGCTAGGGGATCCGGGGACGTGAGCAGGCCTGGCCCGACCCGGGTTGAAGGAGGACAAGCCGGCAGCGCGCCAAGTGAGTTCGGTTGCGCGCGACGGCCCCCGCTCCCCCCACCCCCGCCGGATCCTCGCCGCCGCCACCTCTCGCCCGCCTCCCTCCCACGGCACACCAGCCGATGTCTCACGGCACAGTAGTGTGCCGCGGAACACCGGTTGGGAAACACTGGGTTAGAGGTAAGAGAAAAGCTTGTGCCTCTTCTAATTATGGTGCCATCTGAAGGCAGCTGAGGAATTGCATCTCTTTTGGGGACACATACTTCCCCACATAGACATGCATTTCCTAGCTTGCATATTTACAATATGCTGTAAGAGGTAGTGTGTCACTAGTGATATAGCTTGATGTAAGGCAAAGCTGAACAGAATCACAATTTCCTGATGCAAGGATCTTCCATGAATCTTTTCTAAAATATCCTAACAGTAGGATGCAGCTACGAAAGAAGACATTTTACAAAAAGTTGTATAGAAGTAAAATTCTCATCTCTAATTTATATTTCAGTTAAATTTATTAAACACATTGTGTAAAATCTACATTGCTGTTTCAGTTTTCATGTTTACAGACAGGCGCTTTGTCACCATGATATGGCAAGGGGCTACCTTTCTATGGGGATTATGTTGAATACTGAGAAACTCTGGCTCATTTAAGCTCTCTTCTCATTGCTTTCCCTTTATTTCCCTCAGCCACAGCACAGATGGGCTTATGTTCCAGAAACTAACTATGAAACAGTTCCAAGGAATGTCTGTTGTTGATATGAGCACCTGGAATCTATCTTGGGAATAGGGAGAACTCCTAGAGAGGTCTACAATTCATCTGACAAAAAAAAATACATATAAAGGGTAATTTTTTTATATTAATTTGCAAAAATAATTGAAGTGCCACCATCTTAAAAAGTGCTGGACACACAGTGCCATTTGTGAAGTTTTCAGGCATCATTGTGGAATTTCTTCAGCATCAGAAAAGTTTTGTGGAGTTTATTGTGCAAATCCTCAAATGGTACAAATTCACCTCACTTTTCAGCTGATGGCACTGTACAAATGGAAAATATGCATTAGCTACTTTCTTTTAAAGCAACAGTACTAACTACCTGCGGACTACAGTTAATGCACATGTAAACTCCCATGCATCAGAAGCCAATTTTAGTAGTACGTGACAGGGTTACTTTGGTATCCTAGTCATTGGATACCTTTCCTACCCATATGCAGAGATTCGATTGCACCTTATTCTGACATCACACTAGCACACATACCGTATATCTGTATTATCCTAAGATACAACTCTCCTTCATAATCAATTACCTTTTATTATACATCCACTAATTTATAGATTTGTTCTTTACAAAGAAAATGTTAGAGACTCTTCATGGTAACTGAAATAAATCATGATTCCAGATTTTTACAGGGGGGAAATGGAATGGCTTGCCGTCAATCCACACCAACATGTTTTTAATTCCAGGTCAATGATATGGCACATACTGTGAAATGAAGAACTAGTCACAAAAAATGAAAACCCAAACACACATTAAAATGTACACACAATAAAAGTAATTTACATTGACAAATAAGGAATGTCATTTATTAAGGCTGTGCTTTAGAGAGGACGTATAGGGTCAAGTCGCCTTGGTCAAGGCACAAATGGGAAGAGGTGAGCACAGCTGTCTAGAAGAGGAGGTATATACAATCACGGATGAGGTGGGCATGCATGCAAATACAAAACTGCACAGCTGTTCTTTGCAACAAAACTTGACATAAGTGAAACAAAATACTGTGAATTTTCTTTTTACAAGTCCACCATTTTACTTCATTATTTTTAAAAAATTGGCAAATATTTCCAAAACAAAATTCACAATTTTGAGTAAGTTAAAACATTTGAAACAAAAAGTGCTTCCCATCTCCAAAACCTGCCTGGTTGTGCTATCTGGTCTAGAAGCATTTTGCAGACATCTTAGGAGTGTTCCACACAACTGAAATGTCAGCCAGGGGAAGAAGAAACGGGGCATTTCCACAGACACTTCAAAAGTTTTCGCTCTTTCAAGTAGTTGACTTCTTAGAGCTTCATTTCCAACCAACGGGGTGGTACAGCAATGAAGGCTCAGGCATCCTTTAGCAGCAGAAGATTGCCTCAAAGGGCACGTGGTCTCTTCGGATTGATCTGTTTACTGGCGTGCTCCTCCTCCTGTAGCGCTGTGCGGAAGGATTTCACTTTATCTTAAAACAAGAAAGGAAAGTCAGTTATCAGCTGAATAATTTTAGCACGGTTCCTGTACCCAGACCTTGAGGCATAAAGTAGTCTCTTTTATTATTGGAAATTGCCTTGAATATCTCACCGTAGAAAGGCAATATATAGAATTACTTGTAAATAAATGCTACATGCACTTTCTATTATGTACTGTATAAATAAAAACACATATTAGAACACACAGAGGTGTAATCGTGCAACACATAGTACCAATTCCACTTTGGATCAAGTGGAAACTGAGCTTCCCATTCTGACAACTTTGTTTTAAGACAGATAGAATCAAAGCAGGACAACTGCACCAAATGGAAAAGAGCTTGGTATGTTCTTTCAGCAGTTCTTCCAATGTCTGGATCAAGAATTAAAGTCTGAAGAACATGCGTTCGTCAGGACCAGTAATGAAATTAGAAGCAGCAATAGATGCAAATTGAAATTTGCTCACTAGAGATTTAAGAAACCAAGTGTTTCTTTAAAAAGCAAGTCAAAAGAAAGGCTGCAATGGACCACAGCAGGTAGAAATAGATGATGCATTGCTATCCTTTAAGTCTGCAGCAGTAATCAAAATGAGATCACATGCTACACTACTATACAGTGGTACCTCTGATTACGTACTTAATTCACTCCAGAGGTCCATTCTTAACCTGAAACTGTTCTTAACCTGAGGTACCACTTTAGCTAATGGGGCCTCCCACTGCTGCCGCGCCACTGCTGCGCGATTTCTGTTCTCATCCTGAAGCAAAGTTCTTAACCCGAGGTATTATTTCTGGGTTAGCAGAGTCTGTAACCTGAAGCGTATTTAACCTGAGGTGCCACTGTACTTTACATGTCAAAATGCTTAGAAATTTTAGCTCCTCAGATTTGCTTTATAAACCACTATATGGCTGTCAATATCAGTTGATTTTCTCCCCCTACTAAAACTGGCTTGTGAAAAATATATAAATCTTGAAATCCATTAAATGCTAACGCAAGCCACTTGTCACTTTCAACAAATTCTTCAATATCTAAGAAGTATATCCAAGCAGGTATAAACACCTACCCCGAAGCTCAGTCAAAATGTAAATTTTTTGTTCTAGGATTGCTTCAAGTTGTGTAGCATATGAATCCACATCATAGTCTACTTCTTCTGTCATTTCCAAGAGAGCTTTTTCATCTTCTAGCCACCTAATAGATTCCTAATAAAAACCAAAGATAGAACATACAACAATCAAATACAGTTTCCTGTTTCAATGATTTCCAAGAAGCTTCAGTGTGGTTCAGATAAAGACTAGGAAACAGGGATGAAGCAGTTTACACAACTATCAAGCTGCAAAGACACTGTGGAAAAAATAAGCATTAGGAAAACTGCACAAAAACCGCAAGTTGTTTGTAGCTCTTTTCAAAACATTTTTATTGCCCCAACTGGGAAGTTTGACCAACATAAAAAATACTACTTAAGCACTTCTAAGGGCTTGAACATGCCCTGTGCCAATTCCAATGCCCAATATTAACTGTTTCTGAAAATCTCTTCCGTGTCAATGGAACCTTGCCCTATGGGATGAGAGAAGTTGTAGCTTCAGAAAAACAAGCCCAAAGGCCCCATGGTTGCACAGTGCTCAACAGTTCTTCAGATCCCAGCCTCTGTATTAATCAGCGCTCCACGTTTACCTGGAAGACAGCT